TCATTGCAGTTAGTACTTCACAATGCATTTCACACAATTAAATTGCATTGTTCAAATCCCAGGGTTAAAGTTAAAGGCAGATGCAATGATGAAAATCCGGCCAGTGAAACCTTTTACATCTTTCCACCTCTGCAACTGGCTTTATGAAAAGACCCCCATCACCCACTCTGTACTGTGAAAGTCCCTTGTCACAAATCTCAGTGCTGGGGTGGTTAATGAGCCTTCCTTTCTCTCCTTGTTGTTACACTTTCTTCTTGTCTATTGCAGTAGTGCAAAAAGATATATCCAGCTATTTTGTGCATATTTGTTTTTTTTGGTGTTTTGTATTTGTAAAGTTTTTTTCTGTATGCATATTTATAAAATTAAATTTAAGCCAGCATACAACTGGATATTGCTTAGATAAAGTAGGAAGAAATTTTTATCAAATTATTAAAATGAAATATGTGTCAATATATTTGTGTCTGTCAGGACAAAGAGCCTCTTAGAGCCATTCCTTTGAAGGACATCCTCAAAGTCCATGAATGTTTTGTCAAATCAGGGTAAGAAAATGTCTGATACACCTTGTAGTCTCTGCACTTTATTGTATTTTAAGCAAGTTGGATGCACGTGGGTAATTCTTTTATCAACACAGTTTTTACTATAACGTTTCTTAGGGATCTGCTATTGCGAGATAACCTGTTTGAAATCGTCACAAGTGCTAGAATCTTCTACATACAGGTAAGTCTGTACATGTTTCTCTTTATTGGGTAAATCATTAACATGAAAGAATATGCTATGAATGTTGTACTTTACTTTTATTCTCACTTCTTGAAATGTCTTTGTGGTACAAATGCCACAAATCTTTTCATTCTTTAATCTCTGCTGCCCTCTTTTCCATATGTTGGAAATTGCACTTTAGATGTAGAAAAAAAATTACTGTCGGCAAGCCATCCAAGTAGCCTGGTTATTAAAGGGGAATAAATTCAGTGTAAATCATGCTATCTCTGTCATATTTTAAAGTTATATTTTTATAATGTGATATATATGTGTTGCTTTTATTCTTTTACTGGGGAAAACTGATCTGACAAGATTGCATACTAACTAAATACAGTAAACATGCTGTAAAAATACAATAGTTCTCAGGGGAAAGAAAATCTTGACAGAACGTGATATCTGCAGACTGATGCGGTTTGGTCATTGATCAACACAGGCAAATATGAAGGGTCAGTTTGTGAATAGATGGGCCCCTCCCTCTCTCCCGTCAATAAGTAAGGCAGGGCATCAAAAGCGGGGGCCGCGTCTTCCTTGAGCAGCCACGCCATTCCTCCGCGAGGCGTACGTCCTGCCCTGCACCTGTGTTTGTGCTCACGGTCTGCGGGGTGCTCATGCTCCTCAGGTCCTGTTTACATCGCTGAGCTTCCTTCCATCTGTGTTTACGACAGGACTGAATTTATTTTTTTCGAAATGCTTTATCACCCATGTGTGATGCTACTGATGTTTTTTTTTTTTTTTTCGGATAACCTGCATGTTTTTCTTTCTCGATCAGAAAAATAGCGGGAAAAAAATGACATGCTGAGCGTTCCCTGGGGAGTGTGGTTAGTTAAAGGTCCTTATATAGTGTGTGATAGGTGGTGAGACTGGCTTTGTTTTCATTAACCAAGCCTTAAGAAGAACTTTAATTATCTCTGTGCTGACAGCATTAAAGAACTGAATGCAGTGGTTTTAGTTTTACAAAGTGAATGACTGGAGAAACACATCGAAAAAACATAATTTTAAAAAATGTCCAATTTTTATTAGTTCTGTCAGACTATAAAAGCTTGTAGAGAATCTTATTGTGTTAATCCTTTATCGCCACCTATCATCAGTAGCTGCTACTGCAGCTTGGCAAACACCCCTGGAAAGTACTTCTGCAGCTGTGGGTGGTCATGAGGCTCAAGTCACCACTTGAGTTTAAAATCAGTCCCTTTAGTGACACTTGTTTAGATATAAATTTATAGATTCTCTCATCTGATGCGCCAACATAACATTACGTAACATAAACGATTTGTGCAGCTGAGTCTATTTGCTGGATTGATTAGATTGTTTACTGGTACCACAGCACTCCCAGCTGGTTTACCATTACCTGCTATTCCATTTTGACCCATTTATATGCTTCGTGCTGAAAAGTGGCTGCTGCCTGGATTTGGCACATGAACAGTAAATACGTCTGTGTGTGTTTCAGACGGACACTCCGGAGGATATGCATGCCTGGATCAAGGCCATCTCTAGCAAAATCCAAGAGCTGCAAGGCCCTGTTAAGGTAAAGTGTGACTCCAATGACCCTTTGCCAGGCTATTATCTACTATTATTTCGAGATGGATTCGATGTAAACAATACTAAGTCCAGTATTGAGAGAATCCTAGTTTTATTCGCATTTATTAACTTGAACAGTAGTGTTAAAGAATTGCGGAGTCCAAAAGTGTAGGGGATATCTTTTACAGGTTACACTCAAATTTTAACCCATTGCTTTGAATGTCCTCTATAAATCTGTTAAATATAATATCTAACAATAAAGGAATGTACGGATGCTTTAGATAATGTGGTGCCGGGGTCTTAGTGTAATTTATCCATTAATTCGTGCATGTATAGCAGTTATTTTTTATTGAACTTCATCTGGGTACCGTCCTTCCTTCAGGAATCTCTGTTTAGCCGGTCCACCTCTTTGCATCGTGGCAACAAGCCCCCGAGTTCTGGGCCTCGAAGGAGACAAGCGGGTGCTGAGGAGAGGAAGACCCCTCTCACCAAATCGTGCTCAGTGGCTCCATCCTGGCAGCCGTGGACCCCTGTGAACGCCGCCAGCTCTGAGCTGCTCACGGTAGAGGAAGGGGAAACGGTCTTCAGCTCCTTGCCCCCCCTGCCAGCAGGGCCCGAGAAGGATCTGGACCCAACAGGCGCCCGCCGTCGCCACAGATCTCAGCCGCAGGCTAACACTGACAAAGTTTTCCCCTTTAACATTGATGATGACGGCATACGCACCACCGATGTATAGACTGTGGCAAAGGCAGGACAAAATAAAACCTGCATCGTTCTCGGAGTCTCACCGCATTTTCATGACGGCTTAGTCTTGTTTTCCTGTTGTGCCTGTACTGGACACGCTGCTATGTTAGTGACGGCTGGTAGTGATGACATAGAAAAAATGGTACATTCTGGGCTTACTGCATGTACCCTTAACAAGGATGCTGGAAAGGTACTTGAAGGAAGGATTGAGGAGGAGGTATAAACTTGTGAATATTCCTAAATTGTATTTGTTTATTCTCATTACATTCTATGGAACAGTATCTCCTATTTTTACTCTAATCTTCTGTGAAGAAAGTACTTAATCTTTTTTGTACTTTTGTTTTTTTAAGTTTTCTTTTACTTTTAATTTTTTTTTTAGTTGATATTTGCATAGAATGTTTTATTCTTGCTATACCAAGTTTTCGGTGATCGCATCACCTTTGCACTTGGGTTGGCAGTGGGTTCAGTAGAGAGAAGAGGACATCTGGCTTGCTTGAAGTTTGTTTTTCGACACATTTTGATTTTTACATAAGTATTGTCAGATATCCTTGAATGGAAAATTGGCATGCCTGTCTTTTATTTTGTCAAGCTTTTCTGATTTTGTTATTGAACTCATTTGCTTAAAATAGCAGAATTGGAGAGCTGTAAAGTGTTGAAATCTGGCTACATTGTTTTATTTGTCTTTTCTTACTCTAGCTTTGAATGTTTTCATTGTTGCTATATTTAGACATAAGGGGAGCCCATGGATTAAGAAATTATTTAATGAACAATCTGCCAAAAGAAACTGTAATATTGAAGGAATATCAGGCATTGTTAAGCATTTTATATTTTATTACTAGGGAAATGCTTATTCATTTGTTACATTTATTTTCCCATGTTTTAATTTTTATTACCATCAGCATATTAAGACTATCATCACAATGGTTCAAAAATAAATGAAGGTTTTATTTTTAATGGATGTGTGGACAAAAAAATAGAAAGAGTTTTGCACTAATATACAATATTTGTGAAGCAATTTCACAGAAAATTATAGAGTATACCTTTGTACAATAAATACAATGCTTGATCACATAAAGCAGCTTTTTAAATACCAATGAATCTTTTGATAGTGTAACTTAAAAAGGTCCAGTGTTTTTGGTCTAAATTTGGAAAAGGTATTTAGTAAATTAAATAGATAAATGGGAGCATGTATGTTCTCCCTGTGTCATCATGGGGCTTCCTCTATGTTTTCTGCTCTCCACCCACTTTCCAAAAACATGCCAAGGTGAATTAGAGTTGCCAGATTCTCCATAGGTGTGAATAGTGTGTGTGCCCTGCAATGGACTGGCAGTGGTTGGTCCTGGTTATTCCCTGCCTTGTGCCCATAGTTTCTGGGATATGCTCTGGAACCTGAATAGGACGAGCGGCTATAGAAAATGGATGGATGATGGTAAAGTGTGAAATATGCTGGTTGGATACAGAGTGATTATGATGTAGTCACACTGACACACTGGTACAAAGTGCTTTGGGTGATGCTTAGGCAATACTTTCCAAATATAACTGTAATATTGATAATTATTATAAGCTTTAATATCCATTGTGAAAATGTCACAGATGAGGGCATATATGCTTAATGCAAACGAAAATTTTAATACAAGTACACTAGCCTAGTAAATGTACTATTTGCATCACGATATGTGTACATTTTGCCCCTATAAAGTGCTGGGCCTTTTGAATCTGCCGCTCCAACGCCCCCTGCAGCTGCTACTACTACCTACTACCCTGTAATAATAATAATAATAATAACAATAATAATAATAATTATTATATAACATTTTAAAAGACGCATTTAATTCTCTATGGTCCTTCCTGGAGCGAAGGGGAAAGAACAATAAAACAAACTGCAAGATAAAATACAACACCGCGCAGAAGAACCAAATGGTAACGTAAATGTAAATGAACGGTGTGCAGCAGCGACACTGTTCGGGAGCTTCCGGTACGTGACGCCGGACAGTTCAATCGTCATATCCGGTTTACGGTAGAACACGGAAGACGTTGGAGTAAAATCTGTCTCGGATAATGTTTTGGCTTGGTTTACATATGTCCTAGGCAAATTTATCACTCGCGTTGCTAAATTCTAATATTTAGCTGCTGCACTATCCGATCGTTATAAGTGCCTGAATTTTCGTTTATCTAGGTAGCCAAAGAAAATATATGCACATATTAGACCCGCATTGGTATTTATTAGCTGCTTGCTCAGTTGCTGTACACCATGAATAGTCATTGGATGTTACTAGCTTTACTAGTTTAGTCATTCATTTGAAGGAAATATGTTTCGGGTTTCGGTGAGCTACGTTTTGCTGTGTGGACAGGTGCTCTTACTTCTGACAGTATTGCTATTGCAATGTTTGGAAGGTATCCAGTCTCAAAATGCGTCCATTACGCCTGAAAATCGGTTGGTGACGAGTGCTATCGATGAGCCGCTTAACGGGACGCTTGCCGTATCAGTAGGGAACGACTCCCTCGTGTATAATCCTCCGTCGCCAGTTGTTCTTTGTAGCTACTTGTAAGTTTTTTCTTCCCCCATTAATACAATTTCCAGTAACCACATTTAATTATCACTGAACTAATTTGTTACGATCACTACCACACAATTAGCATCGACGAGTATGAATGTATTCTCGATTTTCAGATTATTTATGTGTATGTAAAAATGCGTGGTTTCGACTGTTTGTGAACAGACCAGATGAGTTCGTATACTGTCAGGAGCCTGTGGACCATTTGGGCAACTCGACGGCATTCCAGGGACTGGGTTACGGTTGTGTTAAGGCAAGTGATTTTTACCCAAAACCTTACTGGTATTTGAATGCGTTTTACCACAGGACTCGTTATGTATAATACTATGAAGTGAACACCAGTAGTCTGGTTCAGAAATAATTATGACACTTAGAATATTTTATGGCTATTTTTTTGCCATATTTTATTTCAAATTTATTTAGCACAGTGGTATGAGGTGATGTTCCCTTCAGGTCCTTGGTGCCACATACAGTCAGAAAGGGGATACATGTCCATGGATATATGGAGTAACACATGGCACAATTCGCAAAACAGTGCAGAACAGGGGGTTCAACTTAAGACTACAGGCTGCACATAGTGTAGCAACACAAAATACATTTAAAAATTACATTTCGAACCCAAAGTGTAGAAATGGATGTTTACCAGATGTGTGATTAAATAAGTGCGTCATAAACCATAAATATAGTTGCACATCTGTGACGGAATGTATTAAGACAATAGTTGGGTACAGGCGGGTGGAGAGGGGGACCAGCAAGGAATTGAGGGTCCTGACAGCTTCAGGGAAGAAGCTGTTACAAAGGCTTGGTGAGCTGGGTTGGTTGCTCTGGTAGCTTCTGACAGATGAAAGGGTGGCACAGAGTCCATGGGAAGGGGGAGGTATTGCGGATGCAGGGTTTGAGGAAGATGTACCGGACAGCGATACAGCTGCCCAGGGCCCCTCTCCCAGGTGCCCTTGTAGAATGTGGTGAGGATGAAGCAGGGAGACTGCTGCACTCCCTTGGCTGATGTGGTGGTGTCAAGGGGCCAGGTGAGGTCATCTTCCAGACGTACATCAGGCAATTTGTTGCTCACGACCCTCTCTGCCGTGGAACCCTCAATGTGCAGTGGATTGTGGACAGTATGGGTCTTCCTGAAGCATATTAGTGGGTCAACAGTCCTCTCTTTTGTTTTCTCCACACTAAGGGACAGATGGCAGACTGGTGTAGGAGCCAGCTGCTCCACATCCACTCTGCAGTGACTCATCAGCGTTGCGGATGAGACCCACCACTGTTGTGTTGTCAGCAAACTTGACAGCGCTGTTTGAGCTGTACCTCTTACGGTAGAGTCGTGAGTCAGCGGGGTGAACAGAAGTAGGCTGAGCACAGAGCACTGGGGGGCGCCAGTGCCCAGTGTTGAGCTGCTGGAAACGGTCCTACCCACGCAGACTGTCTGGCGTCTTTCTGTCAGGAAGTTCGGGATCCAGTTGCAAAGGAAGGTGTTGAAGTTCCAGCAGAGTCAGCTTCCGAGGGGTGGTGGTGTTGAATGGTAGAACTGAAATCAATGAACAGCAGTCTGACAGGTGTCGTCTTTATCTGTGGGGGAGGGGGTCAGGTGAATAACTCGGGATTCGGGGCAGTGTGCGATTCTGCGGGTTAGGACTCTGGTAGAGTGATTTCATCGTTGGACCTTTGAACAAAATCCTGAAACTCAGTTGCTTCAGGGATCGTCTGACTGCTGTCACCGTGTCTACTTTCATGTTGCTTTGGACAGAAATGTCTGCTAATATAATGTAATGGCATACTAAGTGGACCTCTTGGGATGATAGGCAGTAGAAATATGTTTGATATATAACCAAATTTGCAGTGATGTGGTGGTGTATTTCATCTGCATTGACATGCTTTTAAAAGCACATTTGTTGTAAAAGGGTCGCATATCTTTGTCCTGTATCTTACAGGCAAAATCCCGGTATTAGATCTGCGTTATAACTGTCAACAATAAACATGCTCCTTACTGACATATGTCACCCCCCCCCCCAACATCATCAGTTCATAAGGGCCCACTGTACACCACAATAATTGTATTTATTGTGATGTTTGTTTTCATTGCAGTTTGGAGGCCAGGCATATAGAGATGTGAACCACACTCGAGTGATTTGCTCCGCTCTGGATGGTATTGAGTGCGCTGGATCTCGAGAGTTTTTGAGAGGGAATGAGCCTTGCATTAAGTAAGTCAAATGTATCACTCTTTTTATACAAATAACATGGTTGTTTCATGCTAAGATGCCAGCTAGTTAAATAGTAGCTACTGAGCCTGAGGATTCTTTGGGGGGGGCTGGAATCCCAGGCTCCCAGCAGTCATGTTGTCTTCAGTGTGTCATTAGTAATCATTGTTTTTTATCCAATTCATTTACATTTCATTAAATATCTGTAAATTTATCTATGGGATGAATTAAAATCTTGACCTACAAAGTTTGATAGAGCCAATTTGAGCCAAATAATTTCTGTAAAATATTCTTTTGCCACCAGGGGGCAATATTTCTAAATGAATTATGGTTTTGCTCCTGGTGCCTGTGGACTTTCCCAGGATTCATTTGAAGTCATTCAGTGGGGCTCATTAAAAAGCACAGAGACTGAGCTTTCTTGTGTGGGCTACTGCTAGAATAATTGCGGCTGGAGTTAAAAAATAATGGAACATTAAAACTGAAACTAACTGGCTGTGAATTGTGAATCTTACCAATGTAATTCAGTTATTAAAGAAACAGAGTTTTTCTGGACTAGTGGGGGGTGCAACAGTTTAGTAAGATTCAGAAAGCTTTTTCTATATATAGCAGTAATATAGGTTTCAGCTTACAGCTGCTTTAATGTCAGAGAAATGCTCAGTAAGCAACGATGTAAGCACACAATCAACATCTGTTGAGAGTTGCATTATTTTACAATGTTTGGAAATTGGTGTATGGTTGCTGTCAGTGTCTTTAATAAGGCCAGTGGCATAAGTCCTTTTTGTTTTGGAAGGTTTAATAAGTGGAAGATCAGGGCTGCTTATTCCTGCTCCTGCATATCTACCACTCTGCAGAGCTTAGCTACAGCCATAATTACGCACATATGTACCTGGCTCTACTAGTGAGATGCTACTGAAGGGCCTGATTATCTGTATCAGGTGTGTTAGATTAGGGCTGCAGCTAAACTCTGCAGGGTGGCAGATCTCCAAGAGCAGGATTGGGCTCCACTGTGGTAGATTATAGGTGCCATCATTTTTGGGTTATTGCTGCTGTTCTTTACATGTATGTTTTTGTCTTTAATTGGAAATGTGTTTGTGTTGTCGATTGCTGATTATAGACTGTTAAATGAAAGTCATTTGTAAATGCATATTTAGGTTAAAATTAGAAATTCAGTGCAACATTCAGTAAGTTTCAGTACAGTATCTTGTTCATAGTCAAGTTTCACAACCGACTTTATGTTGGAAGCAGTAAAAGGAATATTTTCATTATTTCAAGCCTGGCACTCTAATGTTCTGTTTCCATCCCTTACTATGTAGGACACAGTCTGTAGTTGGCTGTTTTAATATGGCTCCCAGTGAGCATTCTGCTCATCTGCTCATCAGCACCTGGGATTCCTAGGAACGCTATTATCTACAGTCTGAGGTGCACATGGAAGGCACTGATATTGAACAGTTCCGAGAAAATGTTATGCGCTAAATTTTCTGCCCATTTTCCATTCAGTACAAGTTGGAAAAGATATTTTAGATGGTAACTTTCTGGAAGAAGAGTGGCCAATGCTCTCTTTGAGCACCACTGGTATATCTGTTAAGGATTGTGTCTCAGTTGACCTGTCCTGTGCTGCCAACTGTGATATGTCAGTGTGTATCTCCGCGCTGCATCGATCTTGTCCTCCTTAAGCTGCTTTCATTTCTCATGGGCTTCCTCTGCTGTTTCAGGTACACAGGACACTACTTCATCACCACGCTGTTGTACTCGTTCTTCCTCGGGTGTTTCGGCGTGGACCGCTTCTGCCTCGGCCACACTGGCACAGCTGTGGGCAAACTGCTAACCCTGGGAGGGCTGGGCATCTGGTGGTTTGTGGATTTAATTCTGCTCATCACTGGGGGACTAATGCCCAGCGATGGCAGCAACTGGTGCACTTTCTACTGAGAGACCGACCTGGAGGCAAGTGGTGGCGTGTTGTTTACAGGCACTGTTCACTTAAGTTAAAATCGGTCATTTCATTTTGTTAGATATGTAGCGTTGGTGGGTCAAGTGTGTTAAGATCCAGTGCATTCTGGAACGTTCCTGGAGACACGTGGACAGTAATATGTCACGTTCCTGGATTGGTATGCAATGGCGTCAGATATGAGAGATGCATTGATTGATGAAGAACATGAACCGATACTCTGAACCGATGACGGCAGATTCTGATATTCTGCTTTGAATTTACAACCACACAGAGAAGCTTGTCTCTTAGGTGCTCCAACAGAATGCAGAAGCACACTCTTGTTTGATGACTGGCTTTCCAGAGAAGCAGACCATACAACTGAAAAATGCATGTCATGTTTGTGCCAACCACACTGACCAAAGTAAAAGGGCTCACAAGGACGTCTGAACGCTCTGACGTGCACACTGGTTTTGAGATGGTTTTTGCTATTCTAATTGTCTGTGTACTTTACCTTTTGGTGATATCATCCTTATCCCGGTTGTATGGAAAAATTTACTTGTACATTTAATTACATATTGTATTTATAATTCTATCGGTGTGTGTTCCATATTTGACAGCAGCAAGTATCTTTTAAACCACCAAACAAAGATGAGGAAAGGAAGCCGACGTCTTTGGTTATTCTGTAAATTTAATGTGCAGTGAATTGTAGTTTTCACAATCAGCTTTTTGGGCTGTAAATGTACTTAGATATTTGTTGGTCTGTATCATTTAAAAATTCGATTTAATGATCTAAAAGAAATCTTAACCTCCATGGTAGACACTGTACTTAAATTCTGTCCTTTAATTAGCTTTGAACTGTAAGAGGAATAAAGGAATATTGTCCTATATATACTGTCCCAAAGTCTACACAACAAATTTCTTTTTGTAAGATATTTGTACAGTAATCATATGCTATAAAATGCTCCTGACATTAATTATAAACATATTATATACAATGCAGTAAGGACACCCCCCCTGGATTTGTGTAAATTATTTTTTTGGTATACCACAGAATTGCTTTTTAGAGCAATAAAACTTTACCCAGCTGGTTTGATTTGAAAATGTATTCTTTTGTTTTGGCTGAATCGGAGTGTGTGTAAGGCCGCATGGTATGTGAAGCAGTGTTCTCTCTCTCTCTCTCTCTTTTTTTTATAAGGTTTGTTTGAAATGTGCTGCACTCGTTGGGCTTATACATTCACATGTGACACTTGGTGTGAATAAACAAATATATGTAAAAAGTTCAATGTTCACTGTGTGGGCTTTGTGATTATTATATTAAAGGGTTACTCCTGGGGGTTCTGAGATTAGATCCTTGTGTCCTACCTTCCTTTTAGAACTTTTGTGTTTTAAAAACATTAGATTTGCTGGAAATGTTACACAGTTGTGTGAGGGTCCTAGAGGCAAAACCCCATGTGTTTTAAATTATCTTTACTTATTTGATGATATGGGAGGTGTAGAATTTGCCCAGCCTCAACATGGTGTATTTGTTTAATGACAGAACATAAGATCTCTTAAAGGTCTGTGATCCATTTTTTATATCTCAGCTACTCATATTCTCCTTTACAACCAAGTGCTTTTTTCTTATTCAGTGAGAATATTTAAATTATATATTTTTTAAAATTTGTTTTTGGGCACCACCATTTGGTTATTTAAAGTTTTTGTGCTTCTGTTTTGTGTGTGTGTATCAGGACAAAAAGGCATTTAGGTACATAGAAATTATATTTTGAATAAAGTTCCGGTCAAAAGAGACCAAAGTAGAACTTCTTGAGAATGCATATGCTTAGAAAAACCTTTATATCTCATAATGAGCATTATGGATTAAGGATTGGTTTTGCCTCCCACTATGAATGGTGCTATAAGGGTTTTGTTGTTATGGTGTGGCGGGTATGATAGAGTTTGGTGGTACCTTCTATTGGATACCTGGTTAGAGTCATTTCTAGTCTATTTCCTCAGGGATCACCGTGAGTGTCACTTCCTTGTCCAGCCGACGTACCACCACAGAAAGCGTTTCGCTGGACTGGACGGCCTGACTGACATCCTCTGTGGTGTGGATGGGCTCACTGTTGATGCTGACGATCACGTCCCGGTCCTTGATGCCGGAGCTGTGGATCACAGAACGATGGCAGCAGTTCAGTCGTTCCTGCGATACACCGTCCTCCTTCCCCACTCACATTCCGTTTCATGTGGATGACTTCTCCGCTTCACCTGATGAAAGAAACAGTGGCCAGAAATATGCCTTTGGACCAGACTGAGTCTTTATGGGAGACCCAGATGTGAACAGAACCAGAGAATGTCAGGGGATGCAGAGGGTCAAGAGAGGAAGTTACTTTTAGTGTGAGTCTCTGTGGTGTTTTAGCTTTGGAGCGAAACATAAAATTAAACCCCAGCTATGAAAGTGTACTTGGGAAATATAGGAAACACATCTAGCCAGTCATCTCCGAGTGCTTCTCAGAGCTCTGGATTATGATAGGATTAGTTCGCCTGTTGCTCACGGCTTCGTAACTCAGTGGCTTTGGGAGCCACCAGTCTCACTGAATTAAGTGAAAAGAAATTACAGTGAAGCCACTGAGGCATTATGAACGCCGCTGCGTCCTTCCCCTTTGTGGAAGCTGGAGGAAAATGATTGGAAATGAGGCCTGTGTGGGTTGGGGGTGCAGAGACTCATCAGCGGCCTTGAGAACTCCGGGGGTTTGTGAGTACTGTCCCTGTAAATGAGTCGCTTCCAAACCCAGTTAACTCGGCATCGCAAGTCCTTTTGGGGTGAACAAAGAGCCAGAAGGAGTCCTGCAGCGGAGCGGCCTGGTGGGCTGCCGGCCCTGTTTCCTGAGGCTTTCAACTTAGGCCAACTGCTGGCACATCGCACTAGATTTGCTTTTTGGATACAGCTTTGAAAAATGAGTTGCATTTTTTGCAGAAAGAAAATGTTGAGGGTTATGCACAGTTATTTTAATTGCTAAAAAATTCACAAGATAAAAAAGACATGCAAATTTTACTGACACCTATGAAAATATCCAGCCATCCTCAAACCCCTTATCCTGTTCAGGAAGCCTGTTCCTGAAAGTGTAAGATATAAAGCAGGTGCAAAATTTTGGAGGTGATACTAGTTTATCACAGCACACACACTCATGGTATGGACAAATAGTATTATTCCCACAAATCCATACATACACACACACACACAACATCCATCTACTGATCTTATAATCACTCAGGCAACAGAGGGCACAAGATTCATGCAGAGCACAAGCTTTCACACATACTGGCAATTTAGAGACACCAACCTAATCTCATTGGATTGTGGGAGGAAACCAAAGAACCTGGACTGAACCTGCACAATGTATGGACACAAAATGCAAACTCGATGCAGTTACAGTGCAGAGGCAAGACGCAGACCTCCAACCCTTGAGGCCCGTGGTAACAGTGCTCCCTACTGAGCCACTCTGCTTCCCACCTAAAATCCCATCCTAACTAATATTAACATGAATTTAATGAATATAATTAGATAATGGGTAATACATTTGCTGGCCAAGCATTCCCTCTAAGATGACAATTTACTCTCCCGAGACAGGCACCAGGTACAGGATATATGTGGGTATAAAAATGTCTGTTACCTGGCTGCAGCTGTTCCAGGGATCACTTCATAGACGTACACACCTGAGCTGACATCCGGAAAGTCCCTGTCACGGTCCTTCAGATCTCTGATCAGACTGTGAGAGAGCCGCCCTTAACACGTTACTGTACGTTTTATACTCCATCATCACTTCAAAAGATGAAAGGTCACTCCAATCCCGCTGGTAACTGTTCAATGATTGCCTTTTATCTAGGTGCATGATCAGGTTGAGGAGGATGTGTGGATGCCCCCCTTTTGGGAGAGACTTACCCAGCTGAGAGCTGAAGCATTCTCACTCCCATGTACTTCTTCTTTGGGAGTGTTTTTCCTAGGGGCATGCATGACTTCATTAAGCTGAAAACTCTCACCGAAGCGACGCCGTCTCGCTTGAAAAAACGACAATACGGCAGAGATCCCACAAACCTTTCATTTGCCGGTCGTATGATTCTGCGAGGAACTGCCGTATTCTGTCCGAAGGAATCGCGAATGATATTCCTGCCGTGACCTTCAGTGTGTTAATGCCGATGACTTCACCATCCTTGAAACAATTCAGAAGGCGAATGCTTCAGTGCACAGAAGGCCCTCAACAAAGGCCCTGCTCAACAGCTTGCTTGGATTCAGCCCAGAGATCTCATTGTCAGATACCTGTGATGCAGTGCGAGTCTCTGTTTTTAATATTAATTTAGACCCACCCGTTACTGAGGAATAAATGTAAGCTCAAGCTGAATAAACTAAAGTGTGTCCAAGTAAAACATAAACTAAATGAACAGCTTGCATTTGATGATCAGAAAAAAAAAACGTTTCAGTTGGAGAGATGCCTCAGGGTGAGAGCTTGGGACCTGAGGGAACAGCAGCAGCTGCATCTGGCACCAAAGTGCACTGGCATCTCGGTAAACAGCACAATCCCTAAACAGCTCTCTCTGTGCAAATATGTAACAATGGGAAGCCAGGCTAAATGTCTCCTTGGCACACTTAGGTTGCAGCAATTGGTTGTCTTCCTGTTAATAATTTGCAGCAGAAAAACACGTCGATGTGAATTTAGCTTTTTTTTTTTGATCATCAAAAAGAGGAAGACGCTGGTATAGTGGAATTATCTTCCAGGTTTTGCATGGGCTGTTCATTCAAAGCTTGCTCCTGTACTTCTTCTGTTTGCTGGTTTGTTGTGCTATCAGCGTCACTAAAAATATGTAATTGGAGTTAAGTGTGGTCAGACTGATTTGGCTTATTTAGGTTTGCATGATGCCAGAAAGCTGACATACGATCATGAAAAACAAATGCATGCGAGAGTGTAATGGAGACCTTAAGCTGTTAGCTAAAATTTATCATTTTTTCTAATTGAGGTACTATTATTACTATTATTTTTGCTACTTTAGATATAACGCTTAAATTACTCACCAAGTTAACCAGTGGACCTCCTGAGTTTCCATACTGTAAAAAACAGGAAATATGATGATTACAATAAATATTTTTTATTATATATTTATAATATTTCAAAGCTACAAAGTGATAAAGCTGCTGATCATTATAGCTAAAGCTGGACAGACAGGTGTGGCAAGCTATAAATATTCACGTTAATGATGGCATCAGTCTGGATGTATTCCATGTCAGAATCCTTGAGGCCCAGCTCATGTCCTCCCCGTTGCGTGGTGCTGATGATTCCCGTCGTGACGGTGTTCTGCAGGGAGAAGGGGCTGCCCACTGCAACCACGAATTCTCCGGGCCGCAGATCCGACGAGCGGCCCAAGAGCAGCACGGGCAAGGAATTCTGAAATGCAACGTGGACAGAATGAAGTTTAGCTAACCTGGCGGCCTTGTCTCAAGGTGACTCACTACTTTCCACGTCAAGCATGTGCCTCTGCCCGCGAAGAAGCTCCAACCTGCGGGCCTTGAGTATTTTTGGGGCATGTGAGATCTTGACGATCGCTTTCGTAATACCTCCCAACAGCACGCGATCTGTGAAGCCCTTAAAGATTCGCCACCACTTTTGTCTCTTCATCTGTCAGCACATATAAATATCCCCTGGATAAGTTCGAATGTCACTTTAAGGCTGTTATCTTGACTGTTGCTGTCTACTGTAGCCCAGTGCCTAAAGTGTGAATTGTTTGCACCGGAGGTGTGAAATATTCACTGCACACACTGTTTCACACTCCAGCTGACCTAAGGTGACTCTGCACTGCAGCTGTAGGGATTAACAGCTCTCATGACCTGCTAAAAACACTACATCTCTGCTCTGCTACTGTATGCCATTGTAACGATGCACCTTTTATCTTATACACAATTACAATTTATTACACTTCATCCACATATTTGCATTAAATTAATAAAAATTCCCACTGTTAATTGAAATGAATAAATCAGTGGCTGGCGGTTCAAATCCCAATTTCTGTGTGTGGAATTTGGATGTTCAGATGTCATGTTAGTTTCCTTTAGGTACTCTACTTTCCTCAAACAGTCCAAACACATGCAGTCAGTCTGATGTCTCTACATTGCCCATTGTATGTGCATATGTGGACCATCCCATCCAAGGTGTACGCCAGCCTTGTGCTCTCTGCAGCCTGGGTTAGGCTCCGACCAAATTATGTAGTTAGGAGATGTATTTTCTTATTTTCCAAAATGTGGATTTGTGGTAAGAAAAAAAATATGTTGGATAGAAGAGTTTCATAGAAATAAAAAACCTGACTATTAATAGCTGGTTATCTAATGCTAAATGATCTGCATGTTTGTTGACTAGGAAATGCCCAGAAGTTCTTAAAAGAGCTCAGTGGCTCTTCATGTTGTTTCTTCCAGAAGAAATAATCACTCCAGAGAAAATCAGTCTTGGAAATAACTGTGGCAGGCAGGGCAATTTAATTCTAGTCACTGGCCTGCTACTGGAATATCCGCTGGACTTTTTTGTTGAGAATAATACTCTTTTTGGGTTGTCTGATGGAGGTTATTGATAGTAAGCCAGTGGGACTCAGCTGATGTAAAACAAAAAGAGCAACGAGCCTGAAGGCATGAAATGGCAGCCAAGGCGCCCTGGGGCTCTTACGTCTGACTCGATTTTAATGAGCGCTATGTCTAACTTCTGGTCCACGTCCTTGACACTGGCATCATACTGAGCGCCGCTTTTCAGTCCCACTTTGATGCGCTGTTTATTGGAGAGGACGTGGGCATTGGTGACGATCCAGCCGTCTTCGGACACAATGAACCCAGAGCCGCTGGATACTGGGATCTCCTGCTTGGAGAATGGCATCCTGGGAGTGAAAATAAAAATACTTTTTAGGCATGTCAGTCGTGTCAACAATCATGCTCCAATAGGCAGTTCCCTGAAAAAGTAATGATTTTCACCAATTTCTACACACATTGCAATCAGGCCTGTTTTTGCGGGCAGTCCTACCCAGTACAAATTCAACAGTCTGAGTCACTGACCATCAGAGCCTTGATCAAATGCAATTTCAGAAGAACTTTAGAAACAGTAATTTGTTGATGCCTAGAAAGTGTCAAAAAGCCAAAAAATCAAGAATATTTTAAACAGTAGAGATTTTTTTTCCAAGACTGGTCACCTTGCTACAATCTCTCAAAGTGTATGACATCCAGGAATCTGCATAGCCCGATTGGTCCGTGTAAACAATAGGAGCCATGGAAGAATAACAAAACTTGGTTATTAAAAGCATTCCGAAGACACACGTGGCAAATAGCACATGGCAAATTTTAGTACACCGTATGGTGCGAGCCTAAGCGCTAATGTTAATGTTTGGGGGTGCTTTGTCACTGCTGAACCTAGGCGACTAATCACAGAGGAAACCAGGAATTCCCTCTGCTCTACACAAATTGGGCTGAACAACCAGATCATGATCGCCAATCTGCAATAGCATGGGTTAAAAACAACAAATTACACTGAGTACATCCCATTGAGATGTCTGTAAATCTACAGAATGGCACTCAGGAAGGCAGAGGCAAACTGCTCAATAACCACTGAAAGCATTTTTTTCCTTTTTTTTTTAATGGTTGTTTTTCACATGGGGGAATGGTGATGTGAGGTAGGATTAAGGAAATTGAGGTGGATTTAACCAAAAGAAACGCATGAGGGAAAAAAGAAAGCAAGAAGAATGATGAGGATGCAGGTTGGGCACGAGGGTAAAGTGTTCTACAGGATAAAAAGAGAAAAGGCAATTCCGTACGAGGCTTAACGTGATGGTAATAAGATGGGGGCGGAGTGAAGGGCCTCGGGACATCACACAACCCCAGTCTTAAAGTAGCAAAATGCCTTTTCTTCACTAAGGCTGCCTTTTATGTAAAACTCAGAACTGACATAACATCTGACAACATGTACTGTCGAAAATATGGAAACATTACAAAAGCGGAGAGAGCCGTAACTGACCAGGATCACCGCAGAGAGCTGGTAAAATGTGGGCATTTATTCATTTATAAATGCAGCTCTGTCTCGATTACGAACCATTAGCAACGATATTCATCAGGATGGAGTAACAAGTGTGTAACATGGCCGCCTGACCTGAGGAACAGCTCCAAATGGACCACCGCTGGAGCGATCTTGTCCACCACGTCTGCGATGAAGTTGAACTTATAGCGCATACTTTCTGGATTGTGTGGTCCTGAGAACATAGAGAGTACCGATGAGGTGATCCATCCATCTTCTATAAGCCAATGTTTCTCAATCCGGTCCTCGGGGGCCCGCAGACAGTCCACGTTTTTGCTCCCTCTTAGAACAAAAATGTGGACTGTCTGTCAGGGAGCTCGGGGGCAGGAAAAACATGGACCGGCTGTGGGTCCCTGAGGACTGGATTGGATTGGGATTGTATCTAGTACAAAGTCCTGGCGACCCTAGAGTCCATTCCAGCAAGCACGAGGCGTGAGGCAGAGGACATCCTGAACAAGACACCTGTCACACATTCAGACACAATCACACACTATGGGCAAGAGCTAGAAGATGCAATAGTGTGTGTTAGGCCAGCACTCATAAACACCAAAAGACCGATCTACAAATCACCAAAGGCTTTTCATGTTCATACAGATTTAAGTATTTGGGATCTTGATTATTTGAGGCTCTTTTTAATTTCAGGCATAACTAAAAAAATCTGACAAAGAATCTGACAAAGTTATTTCATAATATGCAGCAGAACTTCGGGCTAGGAATGTAAACGCTGTGTGTCTAGATACCCTGAAGAAAGACAAAGTGTGAGAGCCTCATCTCTCTGGGAGCTGGAGGTTAGCCTGTCAGATTTGTTTTTGCTGGTCAAATTGATTGCAGGTGCTTCTCTTTAAGACCGTGCCAGCTTGTCTCCGGGCCCCAAAGCACAGCCTCTCCCCAGGGTACATGGCAGAAGCAGGTGGGGTGAACTTTACAGACAGTCCACACACTGGATTTATGTTCTCTTCTTGGAGGGGGTCATACAGTATATGCATTCTACAATTCATACTTCAGTTTCTTTTCTACGGGCGGGGCGGGGAGGGGCGGCATTATTTCTTTGCTGCACTTTTTGGATTTTCAGTGACACTTGATCATGCTTTGTCTTTTTTAATCGGTTGTAGCGTTTTCATGCAGTGACTTGAAACAGGCGGATTTTGTGTGTAAACACCTCATAGAAAAGGCCTAGAAGAGACTGGAAAAAAACAAAAAACAAACCTGCAATATAATAAAAATATTTTCACTGGCTTCCAACGTATACTGATTCGCACTGAGCGTTGCTGTGATGCAGCCCTCACTCCATCGCAATACCGGCGCTGCTGTACGGATATCTCGCAAAGGCCCGACACATCGAGAGGTGTTGTTTCTTGTCAGTGCCCCTGAGACTGACATGGGGGAGATCTCACCATGAATACCCATGATTAGTGTCCCCATAGGCTCTTCTGTCAAGGTATGATGGATGTGTTTGTAACGCTCTACCACCGTTTACGGTCCTAGATTAGCACTGTGTTGAAGGGTTTGAGGTGATACGCACACGCGGTCGCTAGGATGCGCTGTGGGATGGCGTGTGTGTTATGATTTCAGACGCATGCTTGTGTTTAGTAATGGAGTTCAAATTTACTGCATTCAATATTACTCATTTCCTATTTCTTCACTGAATGGTGAGGGCAGGCAATAAGGCCCAGAACACACAGGCTAGGTGATGTGTGTGTTGTGGAGGTATTGCTGAACTGCTGTGGGTGCTGCGGATCTGTGCATTTGTCCACACCACCTGCATTACTGCTGCGGCGTGGATCCCTGCATTTGTCCACACCACCCGCGTTACTACTGCAGGCCCCATCTTTCTACGTCGGCTTTCCCTTTGATAATGGTCATCAATAACAGAATGTTTGATTTCAATTCATTATAAATTTCAATTATATTTGGTTTAAAGAAAGGTTAAGAAGCATGTGCTCTATTGTAATAAGTATTATTATTATTAATAACATACAGCAATCTCTGTATGCTTTTTTGTGATTTTTGTGTGAGCGAGAGCAGACCTGAAAACTATTGTTTCACTTAATGTCCTGTTAACTTATTGACATAGTATATTCATAACCTACACTGCGTTTCTGCTCTGACTGTATACTACAGATGTAGTCTCATTTTCTCCTTTAATGACATGCAAATGCCAAGATGGTTCAAATAATTAATGTTTTTTCATGTCTGTGATATATACTTAGACATTCAAACTATAGGGAAAGGTGTTGCTGTTATGATGTCAGTATGACCATCAACAGATCTTTATATTTATCTGTATATTTTTGCTGAGAAATGCTACAGAGAAGTATATGAAAATGTCTGTGATTTCAGTAACGTTCTACATCTCTGCTTCACAAATGCAACACTGTTTTGTATTTAGAAACATTTTTAGTAAGGAAAATATATATTGTATTTTGTATTTTTCATGCAACGTGATTCTGTTGTAATTGATAAGTTGCTGATTTCGATAATCTGGTAGGAAGATGTAGCTGCTTCAACCAAATGACTGGATTGTGTGCTATATAATAACATAATGTGTGTGTGTGTAGATTAGGTTTATATTACTTTTTGGGGACAATTTTTCGGGTACCCACAATGATCTGTGAATGCAATCAAAAAAGTAAAAATGCCAAAAGTCTCATATTTTGTTTAGTTACTTATGGTTAAGTTTAGGGCTGGTTAGGGGTTAAGGTCGTCATGTTGGGATTTGGGTTTTCGATATAATTACAAACCTGTGTGTGTGTGTGTGTCTGTGTGTATATATATATATATATATATATATACATACACACATACATACATACATACACACACACATATATTGTCTAGGACTAGCAATACTTCTAAGATTGAATATAATTTCGTATTGCTATGGCACTAAACTCTATAATCATAAGCAGAGCTGCTTTCAGTAATAGGCATGCTTTGACAAGAGAGAAATGTTCAATACCAGTACAGCAGATATAACAACACAGAAATTCATTTATTGCTAAACAATTTCTGGATGCGCAACACAGTTGTGGATAAAACCATATTATAGTTATGCCGTCACATAAAACAAGAAGAGCATGTCTGTAGCTCTATATTTTATAACCCTGCTATTGAAATTGTACTTCTTTTATATGTAATACATTTTTTAAGACTTCCTGCCCCTTTGTATGACTGGACACAAATGACCATGTGGGCTGTCAGTCAATGGTGGCGAAATTAATACTGAGGAATGACTGATGCTTCTCATTGAACTGGAAACCGTGGAGCTGTAAAGGGGCTATTTGTCAAAGCCGACTCCCTTAATTTTCTCTAAATGGCTTTTTTTTTCTCCTCTCTTTTACTACCTACTAGAAATCACATGATAATGGCTCGCACAGGTTAATGTTAAAACATATGGACTTTATTGGCAGGTGGTTTATTTGAAATCTCTGGGGGCTTGCAGTCGGCTGGGAGAGACGAACACCGGTACATGTGACTCAGCAAACAAGCAACACAATCTGTGCAGCTTCTGTCCACAAACATTGTGAAGCAAAAGGTCCAACGACAAATCACAGCCGGTCCTGTTTTCCCTGTAATTTTTGTTGTTCAGACTTCACATTTAATGCATCTGCTTCATAATGTTACTGAGATTCAGGAAAAGCAGGTTAATGATGTATACTTAAAAACGCGGCCCTGTGAGATGACATCTTAGAGCACTGCAATACCGTATTGTACTTGCTGCAGATTCTTTAATTGCTTTTTCTGCCAGAATGTGGTGCCAAGCACTTCCGAACTTCAGCTTCACATTTCAATATTGTGAATGTAATGATGTTCAGCCACAATGCGGCTATTAAGTTATGCAAATACCTGCATTACTGGAAGCTACGAGGAGCCTCCCTCCATTACCAACGCCCAGATCCACGGTGCTGTGCCGATTTAACAGACCCTGCTGCCAGGAATGTGTTTTATTGGGAGTTGTACCCTGTCAGCTGTACAGCAGTCATTCCAGTATTCCTTGTTGCATACGAATCACTAACTTTTCGGTGAATGAAAAGGCCGGGGTCTCTAATGACTGAATGTCGACTGCTATAATCACTGTAATTATGCAAGTTGCAATTCACTCTGCTCAAATTTAGGAGTTTTGAACCTTTTAGTCTTTCTAGGAATTTCGTGTAAATGACGGAGCTTAAACAAAGCATAACACCATCCTACTAGTCGGTGCCGATATAGATCAAGGCCTTCATCCTGTATTTCATTGTTCCAGAATTAAAAACTTAATAGAACTTAAATAAACAGAGGGATTTAGGATAATGCATTAGCATTATTTTTTCCATTTTATGCAAATAAATGTTTTGTAAAAAAACCCAAATTATTTGCATGACTTCTGTAAAAATTGATAAAATCTCCTCTGATAAACTTCTCATCATTTCCGGTGTCAAGTATGAAATGGATTTATGTTTAGCGTTCAAAACTCTCTAAGCATCCATCCATCTTCATCTATAAGGGGGGTACAAGGTAGTATAATAGTTCCTTATTAACCCAGTGTTTCCCAATCCAGTCCTCGGGGATTCACAGACAGTCCATGGGAGCTGGGAGGGAGCAAAAATGTGGAGCGACTGTGGATCCCTGAGGACCGGATTGGCTGCTATAACCAAATAGGTTTGTGGGGTCTGATAAAACAATATAAGCCATATTTTACACTAGGGTCGGTCAATTGGCCGTCCCAGTGCTGGACCTGGCCGTCCAGGTGCTTTTTCACTGGTCCTTTGTTTGGTTCTTACCAGCTAATTAAAAGAAAAGTATGGATGATCAATTAGGTTATTTATCAGGCTTGTATAATACATCAGTTATTCTGATCTGTTTCACCCTTTTGGCTGTTAACAGACAGTCATAATTAGCAACCCAAAATGTAAGTGTCCTCAGGCTCTCGGGCCGCCATGAACTTTCCTGCTCTCTGGTCTCCAACACAAGTTATGTCTTTCTTAGACATGAGAAAAAAAACACGTGTCTCCCACTTGGAATCAGTCGAGCAGCCCTGCTTTAGGTGGTATGGCAGCTCGCATCCACTCACACAGTTGCAAACGAAAGGAAAGGCAAAAGACATCAATTTAGCTGAGCCGTATCTGTTGGAAGTCAAGGGCCACAAACAAATAACCCGAGAAACACGACAGAAGCAAACATTGTGTATATGTGTCTCTAGTGTTTCAAGCAGAAAGGAATAATGTTACGTTACTCGAGGACTTGATTGCCTCCCTGCCCCCCTGTGCGGAGTCTCCGAGACTCTGTGAGCATAAACCACCAACATGCAGAGGAAATTATCTAGAACGTTTTTACCAGGAAAAAGCCAGATGTTAGGTGATGTATATCTATCATAAATTATTTCAGCAAACCAAAATTGACTGAATGTCAAATGTAGTGCTGGTAGGTTTTTTATGAGTCTGTTATTGCAGGAAGTGACTACAGGAAAACTCTGCTTCAGCCAAAGGATTTTTGAAATCTGTGCTTCCAGTTTATCTGAAAAAGAAATGGAAATACTGATTTAATTCCTAAGTGACTTTTTTATTGGATTTTGTTACTGGGTGGCGTAGTGTCTGGCACTGATAACTCACTCCTCATAGGTTGGTGGTTCAAATCCCACCGGCACCTTGTGTGTGCAGAGTTTGCGTCCCAATGCTGTGTAGGTTTCCTACAGTCCAAGGACATTCAGTTAGGATAACTACTAACGGCAAATTGCCCATTTTGTGTGCCTGTGACGGAATGGCTTCTAGCCCAGAGTGTTTCCCTGCCTCGTGCCCCGTGGGGCAGACTTCAGGACCCCCATTTTCCACGATAGGTCATTGGAAGATGGATGCATTATATACTTACCTTAAAATACACTATATTTAACAAAAAAATATTATGGAAGAGGTTCTGCTAGGTGTTAACAGACTGTGTCTTCTAGCAGAGTATTATGAAACTAAGAATTACTGTCTTTAGATTCCCATTATATGAATGATTATAAACTGCCATAAAAGTCAAAAGTGTTAAAACACATAGCATTTTGGACAGTAGAGTGCAAAAAGGAAATAAATTAGGTTACCGAAAGATTTACACCTCAAGCAGTGGTATTTTTCTCCAGGGTGAGCAAGAACAGACCCGCAGCTGGGCTACTGCAGCGGCAAAGTGTGGACGCAGTGAAGGCCTAGTCACTACTTACTTATTAAAACACTGGAATATTATTATACTATACAGAGGGTCTCTACCTATACTTTCAGTTTCAATTTTCCAGGTAATAGAAATAGGTGAGCATCCTGCAGTTTCCAAATACCACATTTTGTCTCCAGGAATCCTTGTTTTAAGATTTAATCAACACACACAGGCTAAGGCTACAGTACTACACTGTTGGTATGAAGTATTTACCCCTCCCTTCCCTTTTAGAACAGAAACATTAAGCGGTCTGTTTTGACATTTAATGAATTAGCAAGGTGTTTAATGTCATAATATTTAACAATAAGGATAACAAGTTTTTTTTTTCTGTGCCATTTCCCTATTATTGAACAAGCACACCTTATAAAACGTATCATTCTAAAATGCCGCCGCCGTCTATGGGCATTTTAAAAATTTATTTATTTTTACTGCTCCTCAGCTATTTTTATGTGAGCTTCATGTTTGTGAACTTACACATAACTTCAGCACAAAGCCATCCATCTTCCCACTGCTTATCCAGCATAGGGTCGCGAAAAGCCTAAAGCCTGAACCAGGTTTCCCATAAATCTTGGTACTTTGATAACAGCACCCAGATCACACTGACGTGTCTGGGAATGATTCTTAAAATGCTGTGACCCACACATTAGGGAAAGGTACGTGAAAATTTTAATAAGAAAAAAAAAATCTCATCGTATCAAAGCATTTTAACAATACCTATAAGGATCAATTACTGGGGTTATAACACGTTAAAATCTACTTTGGTTAAGAATTATTCAAGGTAGTACAACGTACGTAAAGCTTCTTATTTAAACCAGACATATGCAAAAATACGGCTCATTTTACCACTTAAAAAAGACAAAACTTGAAATGTGTTCCTACCGAATTATAACTACATTTAACACAAAATATCTGTTTTAATCAACTTACCGTATAGTTACAGTAAATGTAGATGACCCACCCTTGTCCATCTAACGGGAGTGCAGGAAGTAGTGTAAACGTTTGTAATTTGGCTTGTTTTTAACTCTTGCTCGCAAAAAAACTACTGACAGAGCCTTGCTCTTGTTCTTATACTCATTATAAAGGCTATAAAATCAGAAGCCACAAAGTTTCCTGAAACAGGCAGTAAGGAAGAGCAAACTTTTCTCCATTTAAATGGATATGCTCCTGTTTTTAATGCAGCTGCATAAAGTGACTAAGAGTATAAACTCCTTAGTTAAAAGTATTTTAGCGCGAATCAGATTGAACATATTGTGCAATTTTTGCAGTTACATTAGTATGAGGGGACTACAATGCAACCTGAGAGCGGCTCACCGGAGTCGCAGCTCCCCCGCTGGATCAGGATCACCCGGGGGGTCCCCTTCAGGTCAGCCCTCCTGTTTTCGGCTCTCAGGCGGCAGACACTGGGGTACGTCCTCCAGTCGCTCCCGCACACGGGTTCCTCGGACCTGCACACGCAGGATCCCCGGTGCTTTCGCCTGCTGCTCTTAGGGTACCGGCAGACCATGCCGTCGCCGCACATCCCGGCTCCGCGATCGCCGCAAACGTCGCCCTCCCCGGACGCGCAGACCTGGCAGCAGCCGCAGTGGTCCTTCGCGACGCCGTAATAGCACGACTCCGGGCTGGGAGGACAGGTAGAGGAGTCGCAGACCTCCGGGCAGTGCGTTTGCCTTTTTCGGATTAACCTCGAGTCAACCACGGAGAGGAAGAGAATACAAGCCGCAAACTTCAGCATTTCCACACTATCGAGAGAATGTCACTAAATATCAGTTTTGCGCAATTATTCTTTGTTAACGAGGATCATCATAGCAAACTGGATTTAAAAATACATTTTATATAACTCACTAGTAACATAAGTCTGGCTCACGTAATGTGACAAGGGAAAAACCAGCGCGTAGAAAACCAAAAAGTAAACAGCCGTTAATTAAGTATTAACAATTTACTCAAAATGTCAAATTGAATGCTGTTACTTTATTGTTGCTGAGTTATTCTAATCTCGTCCCAAAGCCTCTGAGTTGTTATGTCTCTAGGAGATTTTCTCAGGAATGCTTTATTTAATTCCCCGCGTTGACCGCTTAGGAGGAGGGCCCATTCAGCCCATGCGGTGTACAGCGCAATTAATCAAACTCTATCCAATGCGCTCTAATGGATACGCTTACTAATCCATTTATACATCTATTAAACACACGCACACAATTATTTAAGTGACCAAAAGTTTTCCCTGAGTGAAATTCTCAACACGGTAATCCGACAAAAAAAACGTGATTATTTGAGCAATTTGTGCTCAAGTTAATAGAGTGCATTGTTTAATTACCTCAATACAGGCTACTTGCTCTGTTGATGGAATTTTGCATTTCACTTTATGTGGTTTAACCTCTCAAAATTTAATTCAAACAATTAACAGAAGTAGAGATAAGAATGGCTGGCAAGCAGGGCTGAACCAGGGCTGGCAATTAAGTCACACATCTGGAGTGACATTCATGCAAGAAATCTTATGGCAAATCTATATTATTCCGTTATAAACTTAAAATTACCTACATCAAAAGCGTAGAGGGAGTTTGCAAACCCATGGATTATTTGCGAGGTGATAAAACAGTTACATACACGTGAATGCGTGTGCACTGTCTCGAATTGAAAATCTCACGTCAGCCAGCTGACCAAAGCTGGCAACCCTGATGAACTCACACCTCATGTCTTTATGTTTGATGACTAACATGTGGCCGTATAAATGATCGCTGTGTCAACCTCAGTATTATTTAAATGTCTTTTATGATTATTTTGTTCTCATGTCCTCTGCAAACAGCTCCATGTATTATTACACGGTAAACGATTCCTCCTTTCTATTCTGAAGGCTGCGGTGAGGCTGAGGACAGTTCAGCCCCGCGTGCCAGCTTGTCTTGTCTTTGACTTGGCAGCTTCGGCATAAGCAGGCTCTGTGGCGAACTCCAGCGCCAGCAATCCTCCCACACACCGTGCGCTAATGAGGCTAAACCCCAGGCCCTGCAGGTGGCACTGTTGCTGCAATGCAGCCAGCTGCAATTTAGTGCTCCAGTCTCTCTGCTCTGGGCTTTGCCCGGATTCTTGCTTGCGTTTTCCTGGGCTCTGGCCATTTCCACTGTCTCCCACCCAAGTGCAGGAGAGGGACAAACCCTTCAGTGAGGAGGTACAGTCACATTTGGCTCATGCCCTGAGTTTGCTTTGTTTTACCTTTTCCAGAATATACAAATAAGACTCAGCTCATAGCTGTAACCAGTGGATTACAGCAATAACAATGGTTTTCAATTATTTCAGTGGCTTGAGTCAATTGGCAAATACTTTATTCTGCTTTTATTCATCCTTTCATTACTGAAGGCCTTGTTTTAACCAGTTTTCATAGCTACCATGCTTTGAAGCCTCTCATTCAGTGAGGCCCCCCGATGTTTAACAATCTGCACCACCCGCTGTTGTCATTTTGGCAGGATTTGAGTGTAAAACTTGAAGTAAAACTTTAAATTAGAGCATGATACCTATAGGTATTTCTTATAAGAGAAGGCTAATGAGGAGCTAGCTGTCATGAGCACAGCGTGGTTCTGCAGGTTATGCCTCTGTGACTGTGATCACTGGGTTGCTGGTCCAAATCCTCTGGTCGACAGAGTAGGCACGTCACCTTTGGGTCATCGGGCAAAGCCCTTGAACTCAAAAAAATGCCCCTGCGATCTTCTCATAAGCTGCACTGACATGTATATGTCTCAGAGCAAGATGGGCTACACGGAAACTGAAGAATTCCTAAGTTTGAATACTGTCATTATTTATTTCAGTTGTGAATGGATGAATCATGTGAACAGTTGAAAGTGTTCTCTCATGTTCCTGTGTGAATGTTAGGAGTGTACCGGTACATGTATTCGTCTTGAATTTTTCCAGTAAGGCTCTTTCTGTTAGGTACGCATGTGTACTGAACAAATGCAGCAAATGTGGAACCTTTGTGTGTTTCTGTGTTTCCCCTGGGCAACATTTAGAAAGGGACAGATGATGTCTCGCCACTACGCATGTGTGTGTACCTCCTAATACGAAGCTGCAAGCTGTTAATGTGAATACAATTCCCATTGCGGGGGGCTGATTTGCCACACAGTTTGCAGGTTTCCCTGCCCAGACACACCTTATTCAGCTCACCAGCCAATCAGCAGGTTTAGTAGGTGTGTTTGAGCAGGGAAATCTGCAAACTCTGTCACAAACTGCTCCAGGACCGGAACTGGGGAAACAGCCTAGTGTGTTAAGTCCAAAACATCTCTACGGCTGTAATCACCATTCTCCTCGTGTTTATTGTCTGACAGAAGTTCTGTTGTGAGACGGGATTTATATGGCAGAAAAGCTGTTTTTGAAGCTACGTCGAAATCATCAGTTCTTTGTATGAAAAAAAGAGAAATATTGTATGTATATAAGGCAATTTAGCGACTTTGGGGGGGGGGGTTCCTTTCCCTGTCGTGTGTGGAGTTTGTACATTCTACTTGTGTGTGGAGGTACAATCTAAAGACATGGGGTTAGGCTAATTGGTGCTGAATTGGCTGTAGTGTGTGTGTGTGTGTGTGTGTGTGTGTGTGTGTATGCTTGTGTGTCCTGTGATGGATCTGTATTCTGCCTGGGATGTATCCTTGCCTCACTTCCTGTTGCTAATATGGTTCGGCCTCTGACCTCGAGAAGGATAAGCTGTTAGAAGACGGATGGATGGAAAATGCGGTTCAGAAATCCTTTAGTTTTTATTGTGTACATTGTAGCACTGTTTGTCATTTAAATCTGTGACCATTACATTGCATTTATTTAGCAGATGGGTTTGTCCAAAATAACCCGCAGGTGAGCTTGGAGACAGACAGCAGGTCAGCCAGTACCTGTGGAGCAGTTGGATTTAAGGACCTCGCTCAACAGCAATAGGATTATTCTGTCACAACCTTCTGGACAAGTAGCCCTACCCTGCTGACCTTTCAAATCTGAACTTTATTACTGATAGTGGAAGTTCCAGCTAGATCCCAAGGAAAAACATACTCAAGATTATAAACTGGTAGCCTTTCTGAGATGCAGCTTCCTTAAATACTTAAATCTGCTCTCTGCTCCCCTTATTTTCTTCCCAACTACTTGCAATATGCTGCCTTACTAAGGCCAACTTTAAAGCCAATGACTTCAAACATTCCATTACTGGTGACTTAATGAAAGATGCCTTTACAGCTGCATTTGGACAAGGTGTGGACAGAGTATGAGACTGAATAAATGAGAATAAGTTAATATATCGAGAGCTCAGCATGTTGACTCAGCCTTGCTTTCCTGGCTTGCTGTCATTCATTCTGTTGAACGAAGCTTGTCTCTTACAAGCAAACCTATATTACATTTCTGATCTAATTTTCAAAAAAAAAAAATGCTGATGCATTTTTTTCTGGCAAGTCTGTTGCATGGAATACATACTGTACTAAATTGTGGAATGATTATTTTTTCCTGGTATATCTGTCATTATGCCATATCATTCATTAAATCTGAACCTACGGCAAGTTGTAAATAACAGAATACTCATAAATATTGTGGGGTTTATTCATCACAGTCATAAATGATTGTTAGATAAATATTTGCTGCCAAAACTTGGCCTTTGAAATAGCCAAGTCTGCCTGCGGTCTGTACTATTGGTATTTTGGTTTATATCATCTGTTGTTAATACTATTATGTGCATTAAGGTTTATTTTCTTCCAAGAACTAACCTTACAAGTCAGGCTTAAAATGATTCAAATTTTATGAGTTTGAATATACAAAGCTCAATTCTTAATGCTAATAGAAATTATACAATAAACAGAGAGGTATTTGAAATGATTTTAAAATGGAAAAGCAGCTAAATTGATGAGAACAAAAAGAACATTCACCTTACTGAGTAGAATGCCAAAATTGAGCTGGGCTGCATCCACCTATCAAACTTCAGACCTCAGGTTCCTGGTGGGACAACCAGGAACTCATCACAGGTAGCATAGGGCACAGGGAAGGGGTCCATGTCAGGATCAGTGCCCGTCTGCCTCTGTCCTATGTGTCTTGTACCATTTTGGCTTCCCCCCTCTCTGTCTTGCAGCCCATCAGCCCCTGTTCTGTTTCTTAGTTCCCCAGTTTGCCATGTAGCTCAATGGGTTCAGTTTACAGCCTCAGATGCTGAAACCCTCTGGTCATGAGTTTGAAGTAGGCTGGAGGCCAGCCTTACCTATTCTTTAATATTTATTGGTTTTCTGTTTCCTTAGCGTCTGTTATTGTTTATCTCGGTGTCCCTTTTTAAGGTTTACCCTGCTTGTGCCTGGTTTAATTCTGTTCTGCTTATTCTCTGCTAAGTTCCTTGTCTTTCCTATTGTTAGCCCTCAGTGTTTGTCAATGATCCCTAGTTCCTGTGCTTATAATTTATTCCCACTGTTGCTTGTTGTTCTGTGCCTTGATTGGTTGATTTTGTTATGGTCCACACCTGCTCCTGGTTAATCCTTATTTCTCTGTGTATTTAAGTGTCTGACTTTGTTAATTTTCTTGGTCAGTCATTGTTGTTGTTACTTTGTGTTAGTAGCTGTGGTTATGCTTGGTTAGTCTAGCTCCCAGTGTTTTGCTGTCTCCTAGTGGTTGCTTTTTAGTTAATTCCTGTTTTTCCTGTTTTGTTTTTGACCTGTATGGTCCCTTTATTTTTTGGTTTCAGCTTTGTGTTCTGTTCTGTTTCATTAATAAACCCCTGTTTATGTGAGCTGCTCTGTGGATCTGTAGATCCACCTACAGTATGCCATGCACAGCCATAACAGTACATCCTGGATGGGAAGCGTGTTAGTTCTGCATTATTATAATCCTGATGTGGTAAAAAGAAAGCTTTTGCCTTACCTCAAGGAGCAGAAGTTATATTTAAAAACCACATAACAATAATGTAGACCACCTCCAGCTGCCCCCACCTCCATTACCGTGTCCCCCTGGGCCAAAACTGTATAACTAAAATGTCTGTTTGTTTATTTGTTCATTCAATTGTTTATTGATTTATTCATTTGTTTGTTCATCGATTCATTTACCTGTTCATTTTTTATTTTGACCACTGGATTTAGTCCA